CCAAAGCCCAAAATATCTTTTTTGTTACTAAATCAAATCTATTTAAATCTAAAACAAATCAAATCTTTTCGACACATAGTTTCGACACATTGGATTACAATTTAACACACCACCTAATTCATTGTGTCTAAACTATCTATGTTCATCATGACTCTTAGCTTTCTGAATACTTCGACTTGCACTCCCTTCGTCATGATGTCTACAATCTGATTCTCAGTTCTGCAGTGTTCCAAATTCATCTTTCCATCTGCTACCTGCTCTCGAAGATAATGGAACCTCATTTCGATGTGCTTACTTCAACCATGTGATATTGGGTTCTTCGCCAGATTAATAGCTGACATGCTGTCTATCTTCATGGTAATTACTCCATGATTTTTCCCTGTTATCTCTTCGACCATGTTCACCATCCAAGTTGCTTGACATGCACAAAGAGAAGCAACTATGTATTCTGCTTCCCATGATGATAATGCCACTACTGGTTCCTTTCTTGAATTCCAAGCAACTGGTGCACCACCTAGCATAAACACATATTCTACTGTTGACTTTCGATCTTCAGCATCACTACACCAACTCGAATCAGTGTATTCCACTAACTTGCATTCTTTTCCTTTATCAACTGCAGGAAACAAAATGACATAATCGAAAGTTCCTTTGAGATACCTTAGTATCCTCTTCACTGCTGCTAGATGTGATACCTTTGGCTTCTGCATGAATCTACTTACCATACCTACATTATATGCTAAGTCAGGCCTTATATGACAAAGGTATCTCAATGATCCAATAAGTCTTCTGTATTGGGTTGGATCAACATCATCTTCATCTGCATCTTTCGATAATTGCAGTCTTGGTTCTGCAGGTGTCGAAGTTGAGTTGCATTCTTCCATCTCAAACCTCTTGAGAATTTCTCCTGCATATCTTCTTTGATGCATCATCAAACCTCTACTGCTCTTGTAGAATTCGATACCAAGGAAATATGAAATCTCACCCAAATCAGACATTTTGAATTCCTTGCTGAGATCACCTTTGAAGTCTTGGATCTCACTTTTACAGCTACCTGTTATCAACAAATCATCTACATAGAGACATAGTATAAGCAATTTACTCTTGCTTCTTCTTACATATACTCCATGTTCAGTTTTGCACTTCACAAATTCCTTCTCCCTTAGAAAACTATCAATTTTCTTATTCCAAGCCCTTGGAGCTTGTTTCAATCCATACAGGGCTTTATGTAGCCTGTACACTTTTCTTTCTTCGTCATGTTTCACAAACCCAAATGGTTGTTTAACATAGACTTCTTCATCTAAGGATCCATTTAGGAATGCACACTTCACGTCCATCTGACATATGTGCCAACTGTTTATTTCTGCTAGACCAACAACCAACCTGATTGTTTCGATCCTAGCAACAGGTGCAAAAACTTCATTGAAGTCTATTCCTTCTTTCTGTAGAAATCCTTTCGCCACAAGTCTTGCTTTATGTCGAGTTACTTCACCTTTCGAATTCGTTTTCACTTTGTATACCCACTTGACATCAATTGCCTTCTTGCCTTGAGGCAATTTGACAAGTGACCAAGTGTTGTTGTCTTCGATAGACTTTACTTCTTTGTTCATTGCTTTCATCCACTTTGAATCCTTTAATACTTCAGCTGCATTAACGGGTTCGACATCTGCATAGAAAGCATAATGTACCAGCTCACCTTCATTATCTATTACATCATCTGATGTAATCACACAATCTTGCAATCTTGTAGGCATGCGTCTTGTTCTTTGAGGCCTGCTTGTACTTGGTATATCTGCTGGTTCCTCTTATCGAACTTCTCTTTCGACTTGAGTTTCTGGTTCTTCAAGAAGGATTCCCACTGAATATTTCTTGATATTTTCAGTCTAATCCCATTCTTTAAACTCATCTATGATCACGTCCCTGCTGATCACAATCTATTTTTTCACTGGATCGAACAACTTGTAGCCTCCTGTTGAATGATATCCAACTAGAATCATTTGACTTGACTTATCATCAAGTTTTCTTCTCAACTAATCTGGAACATGTCTATGTGAAATAGATCCAAATAATTTCAGATGACTCAAGCTAGGCTTCACACCAGACCAACATTCTTCTGGAGTAATTCCTTTTAGCTTCTTTGTAGGACATTTGTTCAAAATGTATGTTGCAGTCGAAACAACTTCACCCCAAAACTCTTTAGGTAAATTCTTGCCTTTCAACATACTTCTCACCATATTCATGATGGTTCGATTTTTCCTTTATGGAATTCCATTTTGTTGTGGAGTATAGGGTGGCACCACCTCATGCACAATCCCTTCCTTTTCACATAATTTGTCGAAGTCTTTCGACACATATTCTCCACCATCATCAGTTCTCAAAACTTTGAGTTTTCGACCACTTTGTCTTTCGACCATAGACTTAAACCTGGTAAATACTTTGATCACTTCACTTTTCTTATTGATCAGGTAAGTCCATAGCTTTCAACTGAAATCATCTATGAATGTAACAAAGTATTTGTTACCTCCCATCGAATCAACCTGGATTGGTCCACATACATCTGAGTATATGACTTCAAGACTAGCCTTCGATCTGCTTCTTGCATCCTTGCTGAAGCTATTCTTGTGTTGCTTCGCCTGCACACATTCCTCACATACCTCCTTTGGAATGTTAATTTCTGGAAATCCTGAAACCATATTTCTTCTCTTCAAATCTCTGATGTCTCTGAAGTTGAGATGGCCTAGTCTATAGTGCCATATCCATTCATCTCTGCTAGCTGCAGTCGAAATGCACTTGTGCTCCATCACATTTAGTTCAATCTTGAAGGTTCGATTCTGAGACATAGGAGCCTTCAAGATTAATCTCCCATTTTCACCAATGACTCTCATCATCTTATCTTCGATTGACACTTTATAATTCTTTTCGACCAACTGCTTTATACTGAGCAAATTGCTCTTCATGCCTGGTATGTACAACACATTGAAGATTACTGACCTTTTGCCATCTTTCCTCATAATCATAACATCACAAATACCTTCAGCTGCTAGGGTATTGTCATTTGCAAATTTTACCATATTTTTTATTGAGGGCTTTATATTGACGAACCAGTCTTTCCTTCCAGACATATGTGATGAACATCCTGAATCCAAGTACCATTGGTCCTTGAATCCATCTTCATCTCTTGTTGTGACCATCATCATCATCTCTTCTTCTTCTTCATGTTTTGCAAGCTTTGCATCACTTTCTTGATTCTTTCGTTTTTCTAGACAATCACTCGAATAGTGACCATACTTCTGACAATTGTAACATTGAATGTGACTCTTATCAGGTTTTCGACCACCACCTCTTCCTCTATTTGCAACACCACCTCTTTGGTTGTCTTGGTATGATCTTCTTTGATTCGACACGTTTCCTTCAATCTGGTTTCCTCTACCATTCAATTTGTTATAGCCACCTCTACCTCTGTCGAAACACTTTCCTTTGCCTTTGGTCTCTTTTGCTGAATGTGTCTGCAAGGCCACGCCACTCTTCGATTTTCCTGCAGCTCTTTCGTTCATTCTTTGTTCATGAGATTCAAGCGTCCCTTGAAGCTCTTCCTTTGTTAATTTCGACAAGTCTTTCCCCTCTTCTATCGCCACCACTATATGGTCGAACTTAGGAGCTAAAGATCTCAAGATCTTCGACACAACAACTCTTGTTGTTAACGCTTCTCCACATATCTTGATTTGATTTACTAGTTTTGTAACTCTAGTGAAGAAATCAGATATGCTTTCACTGTCTTCTATCTGAAGCAGTTCATAGGTCCTTTTGTGAGTTTGTAACCTCACTTCTTTCACTTTCTCAATGCCTCCAAAAGACTTCTCAAGGATTTCCCAAGCTTCTTTTGCAGATTCTGAATCACTAACCTTTTCGAAATTGTCTGGGCTGACACATTGATGAATTATAAATAATGCTTTATAACTCAGCTTCTCAGATTCTATGTATTTCTTCTTTTCTTCTTTTGAAGCGTTTTCTCCAAGCGCTTCGACTCCATCTTTTACAAGGTCCCAAAGATCTTGACACTTGAATAAGACTTTCATCTGTTTGCACCAATTCTCATAGTTGTCAACTTTCAGAATTGGTAGGGTTGCTGGATAATTTGCATTCCCATAACTTGTCATCGTGAATTCTTCAATCGTTCTTGATTGACACTTCCCTTGAATCGAAACAAAGCTCTTGATACCAGATGTTGGAAATCCACCAAAGTCTATGATGAATTTCTACCACAATGACAATTTAATTATGAGACAAACAAATAAAAGAAGACAAGACAAATAATTTCTGCAGAGTTTCTCTCTGCTCACAAACTGTGAAAACGTTATTATTCACTTTGCAACTGCAAAATACTGTGAATGAGTTGTTTGTCTTGCTTACAAAAATAAGGGTTACTCCCTCTATTTATAACTGAGTTTACACCCTAAGCCCAAAACTCAAAATATCTTTTTTGTTACTAAATCAAATCTAATTTATTTTAGACTTAAATAAAATCTATTTAAATATAAAATAAATCAAATTTTTTTGACACATAATTTTGACACATTGGATTACAATTTAACATGTATGTATATATATTTTTTAATTACTTTCTAAGCGTATAATTTTAACATTGAATTTGGGAAAGTAAATTAAAAAAAATATTTTATAAGAGTAATTTTTGTATTTAGAAGACAAAAGACTTTGTATTTTAAAATTTGAAAAGATATTTTTAAAGGATAAAATAAAATAGGAATGATGCATTTAACTAACCTTTAATTTTATTTAAAAAATGATAGAAAGCACAATGTGAAATTTTATTAAAAATAACACGATTAGCCAATGGTTAACCGTGTTAGCACAAGACAGAGAAAATTACAAGACAACAATATAATAAAGATGGAAATCAAAAGCATCCTTGGCAAATGGCACACTGAAAGTTTCATCTGTTCTGCTGTGAAACATTCTATGAATGTGTTATCTTGCAAAGATTAAGAGCTTGGTTTCAACGTGTTTCCAATATCAATCACAAATCGATATCTCACATCTCCTTTAGCAAGACGCTCCATTGCAGTGTTGACATAATCTACTGGAATAATCTCAATATCAGGTTTCACATCATGTTTAGCAGCAAAATCAATCATTTCTTGTGTCTCTTTTATCCCTCCAATCATACTCCCGCCTAATAATTTTCTCCCTGCCAATAACATGAATTAACACAAATGAGCATAAATTTCTTCATGACTGAATAATCTATGAAAATACTTTTCATATGCTTACCTCCGAGTAAAGCATATACAGGAAGATCTACAGGCTTTACTATTACACCAAGCATAACAAGCTTTCCATGAGATTTCAATAAACCAATTAGTGGTAAGAGAGGATGACCAGCTGAAACTGTGTCAATAATACCATCCAGAGTACCCATTGCAGCCTACAATGTTCAATAATATTAGTTTATCGATTACGCATTAATTAACTGAATAACATATTGTATTGTACCTTCAACTGATTCGGGTCACGGCTTATTAAAAATGAGTCAGCTCCTAAGTGTTCTATTGCTTCGTTTTCTTTGTTAGGCGATGTACTAATTACAGTCACATTAGCACCAAAAGCTTTGGCGAATTTCACAGCCATATGACCAAGTCCACCAAGACCAACGACACCTATACGCAGACCAGGTTTGTCGAGTCCATAATATTTAAGAGGACTATATACTGTGACACCAGCACAGAGAAGAGGACCAGCAACTTCAAGAGGTAAGCTACCAGGAATGAGGACTACAAAATGCTCGTCCGCAACCATTGAGTCGGAGTAACCTCCATGTGTTACAGTTCCATCTCGATATTTCCCACCACAAGTGGTTGTATATTTGGGGCAGTAATTTTCAAGATCGTCGTCACAATTTTGGCATGATCGGCACGAATCGATCATGTAGCCCACACCAACATTGTCTCCAACTTTAAACTTTTCTACTTTGCTTCCAACCTCTGTTACTACACCCACAAGCTCGTGCCTGTATATATATATAACATCAGTTACAACAAAAATGAGAAGTTATATGTTATCTTCTCCCTTATTATAAGCACCTTTATATAATTTAAGACGGAGTTAGTAAAATCTCACTTACTTTTTTTATGAAAAAATCAATTCCCTTAAAAACGATGTTCATCGCCATAATTGACAAACATTGTTATACATAAATATTTGAACTATCAACCGCGTCAAATGTAAATAATATGAAATGGTGTTAATTGTATTTGAAACCACTTTCAGATCTGTTGACCACTTTATTTTGAAGTTTTATTGAAGTTTTAAATTGTCATTGGCATTTAAGTACAATAAATAGATTGCACACCTTTTAAGAGCTTGTTTTTGAAAATGAGATCTGAGTCCATAAATAGATTTCACACTTTAACCAAATTAGACAGTATATTAAATTTGTCTATTTTAAGCAAATGACCCTAAAATAAAAATAAAGAGTTAAGTTAACTAGAGGTGTTTTTTTTGTGTAAAAATAATTGATGCATCTCAAAATTTTGAAAGAGCAAATGTTTTTTTTTCTTTATTATATTTAACGACAGAATAGTAATAGTAATAATTGAAATATAAAGAGTTAAAAAGCATACCCAGGAACAAGTGGATAGATGGAAGTGCCCCATTCATTTTTGGCCATATGAAGATCAGAGTGACATATACCACAATACAATATCTTGAATGCTACATCTTTCTCACCTGTTTCTCTAAAATAATATAATGTACCAAAATTGAGTAAATGAGTAACCAAAAGAATGATGTTAGGAAAATGCATTAAAGTAATGAAGAGGTGACAAGTGAAGTGAACCTTCTGGAGAAATTGAAAGGGGAGAGAACACCAGAAGGATCTCTAGCTGCCCAACCGAAGGCCTTCTTTGGATGCTCTACTACTTTACCTTCTGCTGCCATTTGAAACTGTGTTAGAATTCAATGATGATCTGCTCAAAATCAGGCTGTGTTATTGAGTATTTATTGAGAAAAAAGTATGAAGCATTGAGTTATGGATATTATTACGGGGCCTACTTTATAGATGAAGTATTTATAAGGGCTGTCAGGGTTGTTGTATCATGTGCCCACGCATTTGATCGCGTTGTCTATGTTGGGTCATGATTCATGATGAGGAAATGAGATAACATTGGTTTGTGTTTCGCTTTAGGTGTATATTTGGAATGTTAAAAGTAATGGTGGCAAATGAGACATACCCTCGCAAAAGTATGGGAAAAAATTAAGTAGAGTGGAGGTGAATATAGTTGAAGATTTGGATCTATATGTAAAGATGGGCTAAAAATAACTTAAAACTTTAGTCCGCCTCGGAAAAATAAATGAGAATAAGGTTTCGAACACTATATCTTTTAAATTTAAAAATGTAAAATTTTATGTTAATTTTCGCACTCGCAAGAGCTTGAAAAAAAATGAGAAAAGAAGGGGCAGACACGGGTGTAAAGCTAAAATCTCAACTTGCCGTAAAAAGAATACGAGAAAAATAGAAATGGTTGACATATCAAACCTATTTTACAACCCAATTAAAAGATATTTAAAGTGATTCTAAACTGATAAAATTAATTTTAATATGTATTATTCTTTTAAAAAAGAATTGATTTTGGCTTTATAACTAATTTTAATAAAAGTTAAAAATTGTAACTTTGATTTTAGAAATGATTTCTACTTAATTTTACTATTCAACTTTTTTTACATAATTATATCTAGGTTTAATTAGTGTCCAAGTCCTTTAACTTAATTTCAGGTTTTATTATAGTTTCTTAATTAATAAATATTACATACAAGTTCCATAAATATTATTATGTTAGACAAGTTAGTCTTTTCTATCAAATACTTAAAAAAAAACATTAACTGACGTGACGTGGCATGGACAACAGGGCTTTTCTATAATTTCTGAGTTAGCAAATGACTATAATATACACTATTTTCTAGCAAACGACTCTTATCATTGTTTCATCATTCAATATTTTCATATAAGATTTATTATTCACTGTCTTCTACAACTGTTGGAGTTAGCGTTTCTCATTTCTTCTTCATCTAATTTTCATTGTTTCTTCTACTTTGTTTTCGGTTGTTACGAAATTCAATTAAGATGTCAAAGTTTTCCAGTAATTCATCAAAATCAAACACCCAAAATTGTGGTTCGTTTGGATATGTTCTCACGAGAAACAAGAGGAGGGAGTGTTGGTGCCAAGAGGAGTGTGTTATTAGAACTGTTACAGATTTGAATAGTGTAAATATTGAAGAAAAAAAAGTTTTGGGGTTGTAGAAATTACGTTAATCATGAGGAAAAGGGATGTAATTTTTTTAGATGGTTGAGTGATGAAGTTGTTGATGGAAGAGAATTGAAGATTGATAGGCAAAGGAAGAAAATTTTGAAGTTGAAATATGAGATTGGTCACACAAGAGGAATTTTGAAGATGTTATTGGTGTTTGACATGCTTAGTTTAGGGTTGAATGTAGTGTTGTTCACCATTTATTTCAAATAGGATTAAGTGTAAAGTATGTTATGTATTTCTTTTGGTTTAGAGAATCAAACTGTGTTGAATGGAATGTATGTTGTGTTTGTTCTGATAAATATAATGTTAGTTTAATGAAAATGTTATGTTGGTTTAATCTAAACTTTTGTGTTATTCAAAATTTTATTATATTATGTTGGTTTAATATGAATTGGTGTAACTAAGGTATAAAACATAGAAACCAAAACAAATATGTAAAAATCAAAATATAGAAAACATAGTTGTATTTATTGTATTAACACCAAAACAAAATCATAGTTGAACCATTACAAAAAGGTGTACATAGACATCAATTCCAAAAGTATACGCTGACACCAAAAACAAACTGATACATAACTTGATAATTGTTTGTGTTTCATAGACACCAAAAGAAGTGTACATAGACACCAAAAGAAATTTAAATAGACACTAAAACACAAAATAACACATTAAATCACACTGCACTTAAAGATGGCCGAGTTATTGCATCCTGAACTGATGCAGACTGAGTTCCATGAGTTGGTGGGTGACTTACTTGAGTTGGTGCAGATTGGGGTAACTGGAACTTTGCAAGTGGCTTTGTTGTGTCCAAGCATGTGGCACCTACTGCATTTAATTTCAATTTTTTCACGCTTTAGTTTTGTCTCATCCTTCATCAGTTTTGAAACATCTTTTGACCTCTTATTTTTGGGCCTTCTTGGATGTCTTTTGATTGGTGGTGGTTGTAAGTCAATATACTCAATTTTGTGCCACAGACTTGCCCCATTAACATGATATATCACAGGTGCATAGCAGGCCTCATAACACTATCTTTTATAGTAATCAGGGATGAATTCTTCAACTTCCAGTTGTTGATCTTTCATGCAGGATAATGCATGACAACATGGCAAGCCTGTTAACACCCACCTCCTACAAGAGCACTCATGTTTTGAAAGATTCACAGTAAACTTTTCATCGTTGTATGAAATATTCCTAACCTCATAGTCATATTGGTCAACACACCTATGTTACACAAAAGATATTCATATTCTGAAATATACCCAACAACGGAAATGTAAAACATAAAGTCAGATATGTAAAACATAAATTACCTCACAATCCCATAGTTAGTTTTTTCAGATTCCTTTGTTATCCTTCTCTTTATGTATTGTAGAATATTGCCTTCATATTTGACAATCTTTTGCCTTTTTGACTCCCACCTCAACATGAGATACACTCTTATTTCTTCAATCGTAGTTATAATTGGCTTGGCCCTAGTTGGCACAAACACTTAGTTAAAGGCCTCTGGCATGTTGTTCACCAAAGTGTCACAATTTTAGTGGATTTCAATTGTGACTTGCTCTAAAAACTAGGTGGAATCTTCATCAAGTGCTTGAATGCCTCTATATTTAATTCCTTAATCTCAAGCATAATCTTTTCCCATGCAATGGCGTAACTAGCAGTTGCAGCCTTTCACATTAGCTCCTTCAGTTTTAGACCTGGAAATTGCTGTATAAATGCCTTGAAAAATAGAGATATAATAGCTAAAGGCCTAAACTGAAACCAGTTAATAACATAAAGGACCAATTGAGGTTGCACGAGATTACATTTACCTGACACAAAACCTTTGTTCAACCTCAGTGAGCAATTCATCAAGAGCTGGTAGCAATCCCTTTTGGTAACAAATTTCAACCAAGTCAATAATTAATAGAAAATACTTTATATGATAAAAATTAACAACAGTCAACCAAGTCAATAATTAACAGTTATATGGTAGCAGTACCTTTTGTTGATCACTTATGAAAGTGTAGGTTTTGCATAGCCTTGGACCTCCTAGGTCATTTATCAACAACTCTAGAAACCAAGTACATGAATCCTTGGTTTCACCTTCAACAACTGCAAATGCAATATGAATCATTTGGTCATTTGGGTCCCTTTCACTTGCTGCAAGTATCTGCCCACCATAATACCCTTTCAAGAAGCATTCATCTAATCCTATTATGGGTATGCATTTGAAAAAACTGCAAAATTAACATTAATATTGTTGTACCCCAAAATTTTCCCTCCCATTTCTTCAAGACGTTCTCCTAGGGTTCTCAAATGCTCAAGGTTGCTTAGACAAATTCTCCTCCTAAGTAATGGACTTACAACTAGGGTTTCACTTTGCTCAAGGAAGATTTGGTTTCTAAGCCTCAAATGGATTTAATGGTTTCTTATATGTCTTCAAGAATGCTCATACCAAGTTTCATGCCTTGCATCACAAGTTTGCTCAGTCAATGGCTCAAATGACTAAAAATAAACTGTATTGGACAAAAAGTCAACTGTGCTCAGTCATATTCATCATTTGATCAAGGGTTGATCATGATCCATCAAGAAAACTCTCAAATCATCAAAAGTCAAAAGTTGTCAAATTAGGGTTTTCTTAATGAGAAGTCAACTGAACTTTGACCAAGCACGACTTTCACATGCTTCATCAGATTCTTCTCAGCCAAAGCTTATTTTGAAGGAAATTCAATTTTCTATAACTTTGTCTCTCTAATCCCAAGTCCAAAAAATGCTTCATTTAAGAGATATGGGCCAATACATTATAGGTCATTTTAAAAGTCAACAAAAAAATACTTTTTGTCAAGGCAACTTACATCAAGATAAAGTCTTCAAATGCAAAAATAATCAAAATAGAGATTGTATATGACACCTTGAGCTTTTCAAAAAGTATAAGATCACCTTCAAATTATGAAAATTGATAGAGTTATGGCTAGTGCAAGTTGGGAAATTTTGAGCAAATGCATGAAGTTCAAATTGAGCAAACTTGAATTTTTGGGCTAATGGGCTATTCTTTCAAGGTCCATGCACATTGTACACTTCATATGAACCTATGAGTTACTTCATGCACCCCTTGACCTCTTTATTTTATTTATTTTGATTTTTATTTATTTTAAAAGTCAAAATAAATAAGATAAGACAAAGGCTTCTTACACAAGTCCAAGCCCATTTTTATTTGACCTAATTCATGCTTGTATATTCTCATCAATTCAGACCTAACAACACGAAACCTTGGTGCAAGAATTTTTTTTCAAAACTCAAAAATATCAAAGAACTAGGGCAACTTAAAACCCTAGCTTGCATTCACTTTCACAACAAACCAATCATGACATTCAACTCCTGAAGCATTGTATGGTAAGAGTGAGTCATTTGTAAAGATCCAAGAGGGTGGAAACCCTCGAACACACATCACTGGTTTCTCATATTGCATGATTTTATATTTTCGTTTTTCTTTGTGTTTTAATACCTATTTGTGCTAATGTGTTCATGAGGTATTAACATGAAGGAAAATTCCATCGTATGAGCCCCATTATGGTTGAACCATGAATTCCCAAACATGTACTGATCCATGTTGTTTTAGTCATACCTTACAAACTAGCACAAATTAGC